ATTTATTTATTTGTGAGTCACCCCAAACCTGAGATTAAATTCTCCCATTTATCTTTCCATTCTATTTCTTCCGGTACAATCACTTACACACAATTGCCAAACTGAGCTGACTTCACTTTTAACACTGGGATACTGTATTAGTAGTGAATGTGATTACTGATAAATATTATTTTTAGTTTCCAAATTATTGGACATGTGCTTCAAACACAGCAAATACGGTAATATAAAAATACAATTTTCAAAGTAACAAGCTTTGATGACTTACTTTTGTTTCCTTAATTTTTTTAATGTATGACTTAAAGAAATGGGGACAAAATTATCAAAATGTGAATTTACACATATGTTTTCTCAGCTTGTGTGTACACAAACTTTGAAAGAACATAAAAAACTTTGCATATTATATATACATTGATAGAATACATGATCTAACATAGCATAAATACAGTGAACATTAAACCAAACTAATTACAAGGTCATGCAGTACTGTACAAATTACAGTCTGAGATTACAGTATTCGATTTCTATATAACAAAAATGCTTGTTTATAATTGCATTAAAAGAACTATGGTACATACATGTATATTTGGAAAAACCAGCAAATATACCGGTACTGAAATACAATTGGACAAATGTTTATAACTGGAACCCCCTCCCCCCTACGGACTTGTCCTGTACCACATAAATTTAACTATCTATATAACTAGGAGTACGGTGACAATTAACATAGATTTCCTGAAGAGCACTATCAGCTATTACTGTGCAGTCATTTGAAATAAAACTAGACAGTATATGTATAGATAACAGTATGCTACTTTAACAAATACCATTACACTAATTTACATAGATGTACCTTGTTGTGTCTGTACATTTTGCTACAATCATACGTGATTAAAGCTGGCCATAACAGATGGGCAAACCTCATTTATACACATCATGTGATTTTTCTCATTATTTCTAATTGAACTCAAGGAGGGAAGCATTATTTGTTATTATGACACTGACTGAACACATGGATTTACATGGTGGAACTCTACCTGAGAATGGGGCTGCAATTTTTTTTTTTTCATACTGAGCTGATTATTTTGTGTTACCATAGATACCTCCATGGTGTTACCCGGTAAATATACATTTGGTAAAATCTAATGTACAGGTACTAGCAACACAACAAACAAGCATGCTTGTAACAATTTCACCTTACATGTGCAACAATTTATTGACCATATTTGATGTCAACCAATTTAATGTAGAAAGTAACATTCGAAATATTAAATTTGAAAAGTTATTATAATATAATTAAATGGGAATTATTTATTTATGTGGCAGGTAATTCAAAAGGGTTCCACTGGTTTCACATCATTAAAATAACCTCATATTATTATACATACAATGTACATGTATGTTATTTGTCTGCCATATGTTACAGTGTACTGTAACACATTATGGCTAAATCGATTCTTCTGTCACATGTTTGCATTTCGGCTAGATCCAATTGCGTCCACGCACTGGGAGGGCCAGTCCTTAGCACGGGCTAAGGAACGCCATCAGTCGGTGAACTTTATTGAGCCACTGTTTACTAATGCAAAAATTACTGCTGCTGACATGTTTCGTTCTAATTTTGAAGCGACGTGCACAGAAACGCGATAGAAGACTGACCCAACTTATTTGGATGCACAGAAACAGTATACAGCGGTGTAACATTAATGCATGTCGTAGATAGCGAACAAAATTTATTTTGTCTACCTCTACGCTCTACTACAGCGACCCGATATATGTGGAAGCGTGTGCGGAGTAATGACTGGTGGGATAGACGACTTTCATGAAGTCAAAGATACAGTGTTTCACATGCGCGCATATCGTTTTGGGGTGTAACATAAATTTGCATGCATGATATTGTGCTTCTGGGTGTACCATCACGTAACAAAAATAAAATTCCCCTCTATCGGCTATCATCAAACTGACATGTTTGTTTTTTTCAGCCTGACAAAGCAGAGTATTTTTGCACCCCAGTCTTGCTACTTCCAGGAAAGTTGTCTATAGAGTTGTTATACGAACATGGGACAAAGCAACATTCCTCT